AGCTGTTATACTCCGGAACTAATTCTTTAATAAAGAAAATTCAGGATAAATTGGAACCAGTTAGTAACCCATGTTACAACAATATTCCTATGACATAGGACTTCACTATATGAGGCGTGAACTTCATATTTAATACTATCTATAATATGTGCTATCATGTGTTATGCTGCAAATCATTTTACATTTAGGATTCGTTGCTGAGCTTTTTTTTACTGTTCTCGTCTCCGAATCACTTAAATAGATTTTTTTTCAAGCCCCACAGTAGTTCAATAATTACTATATGTCTTTGCATAAATAAGTATGCAGGGCATATTTCAAAACATATTTTATCTTCAGGACTTTTAAATGATTGACTTTTCAATACTGCATTGGGAAGGGGGGTATACAAGTTTATTTTGTGACACATTATATAATATAATTAGGTATCCAACAAACTATATGATTGTACGTTTAGCTATTATCTAGACCCGTACACAATGTATATAATTAGACACATTTAACAGGGGCGGATACAAAACCTCGGTGTCTAGAGGGGGGTGGGGGAGTAAGTTCAAATTTAGATATTTGTATGGAGATGTATATATGCGAGTATTGGCAGTAATGGTTATGGTGTGTGTATGAGGGTAGGGGTTTCAGATCAAAGATCGTTTCTATAATTCTATATCTTTTAGTTTTTACAATTTCACTCTATTCCGTTTATCCTTTGATTTCTATTATATTTGTCCTAAACATGCGTGACATATTTGCCACTGGACATAAGGCAACCAAAAGTCAATCAACGTATTCTGTATATTTCATCATTTCTTTATTATGTTATCTATAGGTTTGGTCCCGCCCCTTATCTATTTTTTTGCACATTAGGGACAACATCAAAAGTTCAATGTAGGATAAAAAAAACTTAATTCATATAGTTTTTTTCACTGACCCCCTAACTTTCTTCGGAAGTGAGCCAGAAGAAGTCCATTTCTGTTTTTTTTTTGCATTGGGAAGATCTTCTGGCTCTCTTCCACCTCTTCTTTTTTGATAGGTTGACGGCAGAGGCACATAACAAACATGGCGTTGTTTAGTCTAAATGAAATTAATAAATTTATGAATGCAGATATATTAGAATGTGAGCTGTTTTATAAACGCTTTTATGGTATGGCAGCCTTAGTAGGACATCCCTGTAGGACGATAAGCTGGATAAATATATGAACTACACGGACAATAACAGTTAAGGGACGATTATTTGATATTCTAGGGAGGGGATTTTGATTGATTGGTGTTTAAAGCTACTTTCAACACTATTGGGCTATTCCGTGGTGGTCAGTTTAAATATATAGATGAAGGATGGGGAAGGGAAGAGAGGGCATTATTATTCATTTCAATCTGTCGCTAATTATGCCTATTTTTCAGCTCTTACCAGGCAACCATATTCATATATGAAATCCTTCTGTCCCCCACCCCAACAAATAAGTAAATATCAAATGGTTTTCCTCTTATTTAACACAAGTTTAAATTGATTGATTGTTTGTTGCTAATTTTAACGCCCAGTGAAAATTATTTCATGCTTGTTCAGGAAAACACGAGTTTAGAAGTCACGTATATAATATAAAAATGAAGAGATGGAATATGATTGCTAATAAGGCAACTATCTACCGGAGTTCAAATATGAAGTGGATGTAAGCAATTATAGATAAAGATAAGATAAGATAAGAAAAAAATATTTTAAGTCGGGTTACATGAAATACTACAAACATAAGCTCTGTAGAGCTTTTTGCCGTCATGTAGACAAATGCTTTTTGTAGACAATCGTAAGGCCTTCAACAATGACAAAAACCTGATACTGTAAAGTCGTCTATAAAAGGCCCGACATGAAAAGTGTGAACAATTCAAACGAAAAAACTAACAGCCTAATTATACATAACAAAACAATTTACAAAATATCAAATATGAGTGGAGACAGGAACCAACAACAGCCATTAAACTACAGCCTCCATCCCTGGGACAGGCAAATAAAGAATATGTCAGGGTGGATTTAAAAACGAAGATGTGGTATGATTGCAAATGAGACAACTAACCACAAGAGATCAAATGACACAGAAATCAACAGTTATAAGTCACCGTACGGCCTTCGACAATAAGCAAAGCCTACACCGCATAGTCAGCTATAAAAGGCCCCAAATCAAAAATGTAAAACAATTCAATCGAGAAAACTAACGGCCGAATTAATGTACAAAAAAATGATCGAGACACAAATATGTATAACAAAGCAACAAACGGCAACCACTGAATTACAGGCTCCTGACTTGGGACAAGCACATACATACAGAATGTGGCGGGGTTAAACATGTTAGCGGGATCCCAATCCTCCCCCTAATCTGGGACAGCGGTGTAACAATACAACAACATGTTTGTGAGCAACCCATCCCGAAGCTGGGACAGTAGTGTAACAGTACAATAAAATAACAACCTGCACAAATCAACAAATTAACTCAAAAGATCGGTACGAGACACACAAAAAACTAACATTAAGACAATAGACACAAAGCACCGACATAAGAGTATTTGCAATTACTTGAAGTTTGCTCAAACCTAATTACAACTGGTACTGAAATAAATCTTGTTCTCCCAGACTGAGTTATCAATCAATACACAACGCGCGGCAAAGGATTTATTAAAAAAAGAAAACAGTCTGAGAAACGTCTGGTTTACGTTGTATACAGATATAAGAAGATGTGGTATGAGTGCCGATGAGACAACTCTCCATCCAATTCATAATTTGTAAATGTAAACCATTAAAGGTCAACGTACGGTCTTCAACACGGAGCCTTGGCTCAACCCGAACAGCAAGCTATAAAGGGCCCCCAAAAAATTAGTAGTGTAAAACCATTCAAACAGGAAAACCAACGGTGTCTAATCTATTTAAAAAAAAACGATATACTTGCATATAAATCCATATACAATGAAACGGTTTTTGAAAAGTGGACTGAACGTTTCAAATGACCATCGAAATTTTGCAATAGAAATACTAGTTATGACCAAAAGATTTTAACAGCCAGTGCAGGACTCGCACGAATGTTAGATTTAGTTAGAGGGGCGATATTCTGGCGCGTTTTTTAATTCTTGGTCACCCATGTTTAGAAAGAAAGGGGAGAAATCCAAACAATTTCCGACCAATCACAAACGTTGTTGCAAATTTGACCTTATGACGTCAAAGAATTTCCCATAATGCAATTATTGCATATAAATAATAAACTACTATACCAATTGAATAAAAAATATTGCATTCAAATGACATTTTATACCAATTGAATAAAAACTATTGCATTTGAATGAAAATTATACCATTTGAATGAAAAATTATACCATCTGAATGAAACATTATACCATTTGAATGAAAAATTATACCATTTGAATAAAAAATATTGCATTTAAATGAAAAAATATACCATTCAAATAAAAAAATATTGCATTTAAATGAAGAAATATACCAATTATAAATATCAAATTTTTGCAACCAATACCATGCCATAAGTAAAGTGCACTGGCACTCGTGTTCTTGAAATTGTTTAATATTGTATCTTATAATGTGATCCTTCGTACTCTTAATTATTGGTGAAGATTTAGAAAAATTAAAGAATGGTAAAGATAATGAATGAACTAGGTAAATTAGTGACAATATTGAATTGTTTTAGAGACACTTCCTCAGTCTGTTTTTATTTATTCTTTACTAGTTGTATTTTATCTTTACTTAATTCTTTTATAGTGACCTGAACATGGCCTACCATAATTTAGGTGTTACATTTCAACCCGTCGAATGTAGTTTTATAATTATTTCACCATCAACACATTATTAAGGAGGTTGATTTTGTATTTTAAAAACCTTCCCAAAATATTCCAATCTATTCATTCGATATTGTTATGATAATATGACAGGCGATAAACAAATAGAATATACATATGCTTTATATTTTAGCTGGTATTTGCCTTTGCAATTGCAGGAGAAATAAAGCTAAATTACAAAACGTTCGTCCAATGGTTACTTGCAACTGTTGCTTGAAGAGGAAAACATATCCATGTGAAATTAATACCAAGTTGCAGCTAAAAATCCTCCAAAATATTTTTAGTATGATTCATAAAACAGACGAATATCTTGGCATTGCACAATGTCAAATTTTTCGCTGGCTATTAATGACGTCTTTACACTAAATCCATTGGATGTTGGATGTGAACTGATTGATATTTTAGTCTTGGACGCATAATTTTTTAATTAGTTGTTATTGGCTTTGAACTAACTGTCAGTAACTGCGAGTACTCAGATCTGTACATGGTGTCTTTTCTTAAGGAATATATAAATACCATGCAACGTCCGGTCTGTGTTTTTGTTAAATGTTGTTCTGCTTTGTATCATCGATCTGATGAGTTAAGCATTTTTAACTGATTTTTATAAGTTTGGATCTTATGTTGTACTGTTACACTACGGTCACAGATTAGGGGTAGGGTTTAGCGTCATCAAACCAGTTTGATCCCGCCACATTCTGTATTTGCCTGTCCCAAGTCGGGAGCCTGTAATTCAGTGGTTGTCGTTTGTTGCTATATATCATTTTTTTTTTCGTTTATTGTTTTGTACATAAATCAGCCTCTTAGTTTCCTCGTTTGAATCGTTAATGCATTTGTCATTACGGGGCCTTTTATAGCTGACTATGCGGTATGGGTTTTGCTCATTGTTGAAGGCCGTACGGTGACCTATAGTTGTAAATATCTATGTCATTTAGTCTCTGGTGAAGAGTTGTCTCATTGGCAACTATACCATATTATTTTTACATCAATTATTTTCAAAAGTTCAATGAAGGCTCCCACTTCGTACTACGATTGGTACAGTAGCAAATCGGGGAAACTTCTAACCTGTCAACGGACCAGTGTCGCACCGTTTTGAGTGCATGCGATTCCCTCAGTTTTTGGTAACAGAACAGTTTTTATTTATACTTCTTTGATCAATCTTTTTTTTCAAATTCAAGCTCTTTTCATAAAAGAAGAATATTATTTGATGGTGGCGATATGTTGAGAACACCATATGGCGCACGGATAACTTGGAAACTACCAGGAGGGAATGATTTAGTCGTTCATCTAAAGGATAAGAACAAAATACGGCACAAAAAACGATGGAGTCAGGTAATAATATTAGACCTACCTAATATTTTACAGTGTCTGCAGAATATGAATATAGTAGATATGCTTAAAAAACTTAATGTAAAGTAACATATAAACAGTTGTTTTGGCCCCTTTTTGTCCCCTTATTCCTAAACAATTAAGACAATAACCCCAAAAATCATTCCCAAACTTCCTTTTGTAGTATGGGTACTTGTGGTACAATTTGATAGAGATCCATACTACTAGTTACATAGTTTGCTAGTGACCTAATACGATATATATGGGGTTAGTAAATTTCCCCATATGGAATTTACTGACCCCATATATATCGTATTAGGTCACTAGCACACTATGTAACGAATTTATCTTACCGACTATCTTAACATGTGGTATTTAGACTAGTGGCGGCAGCCTATCAATTAAGAACCTATACTTCCATTGGTCTATACAAAAACAAATGCCAACAATAACAACTTGTTAGCTTTAAATGTGTTTTATGAATTAATTTCAATAGTTCATCATCAATTTATTCGTCTGTTAAAACCTTTAAGATTTTTCCTCAACACCGTGTTGATTTTATAAAGGGACGTAACACCACTACTTACCGTGTAATGAAATAAGCCCCGCCTACTAACCCAATATGTAATATACACGGTCTCCACGCGGTTGCTTTTAACCAATCATATTCTTAGAAATGTATAGGAGGTAAGATAAACTTATATACTCAAGTTATTGTCTGGAAACAAAATGTCTTCGGACGAAGACGACATCGCCATACCATTATACGACCGAAAATTTATAAATATAAAAAATTGAATATAACCTTTCAATTCCAAAAAAATTAAAAGCCCCCCTTAATTTCCTCCTTTCCCCTCTTTTTGGGGTTACAAATCACTGGTCCCTTACAGGAGTCATTACCCTTTCACTGATCAATTTTTGCCCATTTTTTGTGTCTATTTGTACTAATATCTTGAGAAAAGTAATATATTAAGAGAAACTTGAACAGCTAAAATGATCAGCAAGGCAAAATTTACAAAAAATGAACATACTTGACATTTATGTATCAACTACTTAGAGAAGAAACTGCCTCTAAATATAAAAGACATTTTCAATGGAAACAAAATATTTTGGTTGCTTCCTTTCTGAAACAAATTATGTCTTTTTCAAGAAATTAGGAATCAAACATTCACATCTTCTTATTTCTATTTAAAAAAAAAACAAAAAAAAAGATAAATGGTCTGCACCTTAGCCATGTTTACAGTTCTTGAGTCTCGAGGTGTATATAAGAGCGGATTCTTATAAAACCTTTTATATTGCGGGTTACTGTTTAGTTGAAGCTGTTGAAATAAATGCACGAAAACGTAAAAAAATAATCTGTGTGCAAATGTAATGCCACGAGTTGAAGTTCATCCCATATCTCCTTTCATCAATAACCGAGGGGGGATGGACTACTGTCTCACTAGCCTATCAGCACTAATGTTGTGAGTTCGAATCCCGCACAAGAAGGCAGGTAAGCTCAACTCCAATCTTAATTGTCAGTTTAAACTTTTCCTATCGAAGGTCGGGGCTTCTTTCCTGGCACTACGGCTTCCTCCACTAATTTAAACTGACTGCCTCGAAATAGCAAAATACTGGCGTTAAACACCAATTAATCAAACAATTAACCAATCAATCATCCATACCGGTATACTTATGCATGAGTAGAAAATTTTATAGCTATTGTTATGAAATACTTTTAAAAATGACAGTTATTTAATTGGTATAGTAAATGAATTAAGATAAAGCGGAAATTCACAAAGAGGGAATTTATACCGGTAAAGCTGTCTTTTGCAATAAAAATTGTTTAATATTTTCGCCGTAGCAGGGAAATTCTTCAACTGGCTCCCTTTTTAGCTCACCTGGCCCCATGGGCCAAGTGAGCTTTTCTCATCTCTTGGCGTCCGTCGTCCGTCGTCGTCGTCCGTTAACTTTTACAAAAAGCTTCTCCTCTGAAACTACTAGGCCAAATTTAACCAAACTTGTCTACAATCATTATTTGTGTATCTAGTTTTAAAAATGTGTCCGATGATCCCGCCTGCCAACCAACATGACCGCCATGGCAAAAAATAGAATATAGGGTAAAAATGCAACTTTTGTCTATTATTTTAAAAACCGATATGAATAGAGAAAATCTGACAAAATGTTGAGCTCTATCAATTGTCCTTGTCAAAATTTTCAGACGGCTTCTTATAGGATTTATTGCCCTTAAATGACAAATTTTACCATTTTGTTTTCATTTTTGGCTATTATCTTGAAAACTATAAAAGATACAGAGAAACATTAAATTGCAAAAATGATAGGCAAGACAAGTTCTACAAATAAGTTAACATTGTCGAAATCGTCAGCCGACTCGTTATTAGAGTTATTGCCCTTTGATGATATTTTTTTACCAATTTTTTGCGTTTTTGCCTTATATCTTAAAAATTACAATAGATAAATAGAAACTTAAATAAGCAAACATGATCAGCAAAAAAAGATCTACAATTAAGACAATATAGAGGAAATCGTCCAACGTCTCCTTGGAGTTATTGCTTTTTAATGACGATTTTTGGGGTTTTGCCTTACATGATAAAAATTATAATAGATTAATAGACACTTTAAATCACAAAAATAATCATTAAGGCAAAATCTACAATAAAGTCACATTTCGCTGATGGTAGTAGGCTGTCACTCTGTATAGGAGTGATTGCTAAGCCCCTTAAATAAAGATTTTATTTTTACCCTCTTTTGTGTTTTGAGCAAAAACTAAAGAAGACAGAGAGAAACTAAACAGACTAAATGATCAGCAATACAAGTTCAACAAAACTGATTTTTGTCAAGAATTCTATTCTCGTCTACAATGTTGTAGAGTGTCCTTTGTTGAATATGCATATAGACCAAGGTGAGCGACACAGGCTCTTTAGAGCCTATAGTTAATGGGTCTTAAACTTCCTCCGAAATGTTTGAAACGTTGATTTTTGTTAAATTGTACTGTCTCATTTTTTTCTATAAATTGCACTTTCGGAAGCTGAAACAAGGCTGGAGCTGCTAGATCAGAAACAGTAAACTGCCATTCATAAAAATAATGCAGAATATCCTCTGGTAGATCAAATATTTGAACTCCATGTGCTCACTACACAGTCGAAGACCCATAATTTAATAACTTTAGCCGTATGTTCATTATTGAAAACCCATTGATTAAAACTAAACTTTGCAATTCATATTTTGACAATTTTCCAACAATATCAGATGTGATTTATTTTCATCTTTAAAACGAGGTACCAACGTGCTAAGGTTTATCACTTTTCAAATCTTAATCATTTTCCAAACAATAGCTATATATTTGATCCGAGTTTATAGTAATTCCGAAGAAGCAGATCGGAATCAGTAATCAGTCTAATCGTAATCATGTTCATTGATCATAACAACGATGAAAGCACATTATATAAGGACGTTTTGACATCATATAATGAAGTAAACCGAACCACATCATATCTTTTCATAATTTATTCTATCTCATAGATTTCTTTTTATTTACAAAAAAAAGTGTTTTATCATGAATTATCTATGCAAATTTTTGCAATTGTCTACGAATTGTAGCTTGAAAACTAGCACAGTGACCTATACTTTTTATCGTAGTTTTTTTAAAAGCATGGTTAAATCTACATTTTGGCAAAGTATAGGAAAATTCAATCTGAGGAAATCTATACTGATGATCCACCTTAAATCATTTCGTTCGTTTGAGATATCTTGTCCAGTTTAAGACAATACCGTAAGTTTAAATAAAACCCGTAAAAGAGGTGACCGATTGAGATCTAACTTGAAACAGGTAGTACTGTTTTTAACTTGTTATTCAATACAATTGTAGTAACAATATATGTCATCACCTGTAATTGAATTAATTTTTTTCCTATTGATCTTTGAGTATAAGTTTAATTACTATGTTGTCATAACGAGGAAGATACGTTCCTGTTAATCTTGTAGACGCGAAACATGTAACATATGAAATGTAATTCATCCGCCATTTTCAAACCATACTTCACATTTAGTTGTTATAGTGGTTTTCTATTTTCTAAATCGTTTTTTTGTTTCATTTGTTATGAAAATAGGTGATGTACATGAATTATATATTAAAATGGAAGTTGCAAAACAAGTTCGGCAGATCTGGCCTTCAAGATGCAGCAGAAAATACGTTTCTCTTGGCCCTTGATGGAGACGTCAAATTTGAGCCAGAAGCAGTTCTAAGCTTAATGAGACGAATGAACAAATCAAAAATCGTTGGTGCTGCATGTGGGAGGATTCATCCAATCGGTACAGGTATAAACTGTTAAGATGTATAAATGAAAGGATTTAATTACTTTTTGGTGAAAAATAAAAGATTCAAGATGAACCACATTGCAATACAATGCGGACTTAGTTTTGAATGAAATAATTAGAATGTGGAAATACATGTTTTCTTCTGTAGTCTTTTTTCTTCTGTTAAAGTTGCTTTAAATATAAAAATAAGAAGATGTGGTATGATTGCCAATGAGACAACTTCCTAAGAGAGACCAAACTGACGTAAATGTAACCAATTACAGGTCACTGTGCGACTTTCTAAAATGCGCAAAACTCAAACCGCAAACCAAGCTATAAAAGTCATGACAAATGTAAAAAAAAAAATAAAACGACAAAAATTAAAGGTCTGACTTATGTTCAAATAAACAAACGAAAAACAAATATACAGAGAGTGGCAGGGTTAAACATATTTGCGGTTAGCCAACCCTCCTTCTAGCCTGGACAGTGGTGTAACAGCACATCAAAAATACAAATTATAGAAATCAGTTGGAAAAGGCTTGACTTATCAGATCGACACAAAGCAAACACAAAACAACACCTAACAAAAAGACTTAAGCCACAAAGTGCTTGTATTTTCAGGTCCTATGGTGTGGTATCAGCAATTTGAGTATGCAATCAGTCATTGGTTACAAAAAGCAACAGAACACGTGATTGGCTGTGTATTGTGCAGTCCTGGTTGTTTTAGCTTATTTCGTGGTTCTGCACTATTACACTCCGACACTCTGGAAACGTATACAACCGTAGCCTCTGAAGCTAAACAGTATGTTCAGTATGACCAAGGTACCTATGTGGATAAAGTTATAGATAGTTAGTTATATAGCCATTAATTCGGTACGGTCATGAAAATATGGATATTACTAGTATTTTATTGAAATTTACTGTTCTGAAACTTTGGAAATCTTTTGAAATAAAGGAAGATATCTCCCTGATGGAAACATGTAACTTTGATTCCATGACCGAGTTTGTTTATGGCTTGATCTTTTCCTTAAAATTGACACATATGAACGACTTCAAATTAGAATCTATGACAAGCATGATCACTTTCCAATCATCAAATTTCCACTCCTCTGCAGTAACATAACCTTTGTCCTGTCGTATGTCGTTAACATATCTCAGTTGATACGTTACGCTCGTGCATATTCACAGGATACGGAATTCATTTGCAGGGTTGGGCTCCTTGAGCAAAAAAATGCTCCAATGCAGAGCTGAGAAAGAACGAATGAAATCGTGCTTCATAAGCTCTATGGTCAATACAACGAATTAATTGACTGATACAATATTTCTGTGTCTTAACTCATTAGCGACATATTTCCCCAGTCTTAGATCTTTAGATACTTGAATGGACGTCTAATCTGTTGTGTCCTATTCCCAATTGTGATATTTTGACTGAGGGGGATCTGCATGGCGGGTGATTCATGTACAATAGGAGACAATTACCAAGTCGACGCGACCGACCTGGCTTCTTTTGAAATTCATGCGATTGTCTCAGGTATTTTTTGTTTCCTTGATTTTTTAATACGATTTTAAAATAAATCAATTATAGTTGCTTTACTTTGGCCATATTTTTGGTACTTTTGGATTTATTAGCTCTTTAAAGTTGGTAATAGTTTTTGGATTTTCATATATTTTGTCCTCGAGCATCTCTGGCGAGTCAATTATTGTCGAAATGTGTTGTGGTGAACAAAAGTGGTACTGTTAGTATTATTATGGTTACTTTATTTATTAACAAAAATATTTTTATTACAACACAATTATTCTGAATGCAATAAAGCTTGCTAGTATAAACAAATATTTTCCTACTTAAAATAGGCAGCATGCCTTGTATATGTTATGTCACTGCTATAAAGGTATTTATACTCTTTTGCCCCCTTCTTAGCCGATTTATACTTTCCACGACAGTTAAGTATCTTTTTCAAAATCAAGTTGTAGTTCGGTTGATTCCTTTCTCTTTTCACTATCTCAGCAGATATTTCTTTACAGTTCTTGACAGTTAGATAAAATTGTTAATAATAAAATATCTCTAGTGAAAACAAAAAGTAGGACTCTCGATTCCTTGGTATATTTATATCGTTTGATGTTTTCGCATTAATTTACAACATTTAAAACGCTTCAAAGAAATATTTCAGTCAAAATTTAACAATCGGAATTGTTTAGCATCTAGCAACTTATTAACTTTGTTTCTATATACCAGTTTTGCACAGGCACTTGTCTCTGAAAAAATACCTTTGATAAAAATAAGATGTGGTTTGATTCCCAATGAAACAACTCTCCACAAGAGACCAATTGACATAGAAGTTAACAACTATAGGTCACTGTACGGCCTTAAACAATAAACAAAACCCATACCGCCTAGTCAGTATACATTAATATAACACAAAGTACCAAACTCGACGTATATTTGAGAAATGTCACTCGGTCGCACACTCCGTTACATTTCGATTCTGCGGTTGTTTATCTCAGTGAAACTTGTTATGCCGTAAATCTACATTGAATTATCTACAAAATGGAGATTAACATGATTACTTCTATTGTCGGAATCTTTCGTTACAGGCCTTCTGAGTATGTCAATCGTCAAATTCCTTTCGTTCTCTCACAGTCAAATTGCAATGTTAATCTCGCATGATTTTCAACGTTTTCTCTTTTTTCTGAGTGATTGATTAATGCTTGTGTTTCGTCGGTTTAGAGAATAAAAGGTCTCTATCATTTCCATCGCTGAATTTGATCTTTATTCAAATCGTTGCAACAAATCATGAATCATTGATCAAAAGTGACTGAAAAGAAGGGCAGAATATACAAAAGGGACAATGAAAAATCATTAGTTGAATAAATACAGAAATTTTTTCACTTGAAAGAATAAAACAACATACCAACTATAGTTTACACCACAAACATAAAGACTACGCAACACGAACCCAATCACCATACTCGGCGACTCTCAAAGGATAAGCAGATTATTCTCCACAAGTGCATTCGTATTGTCATTTGCGAGTAAGCCGTTGTTGTTAAGTCTCATTCGTTGGTGTCACAATCGATAGAAAGAGGACGGGATTGTGGCAATGGTAGTTGGAACACATTTTTTCGCGCCTTTTTTCTTTTAGTTTTTCAACGCTATCAATCAAATCATTTTTTCAAAATTTAACACTTTAAGGTATGGGGAAAATCTGGATTCAGAATTTTTTTTGTCATCTGCTTGACCACAATATTTTTTTCCATTAAATTGGGGATCAGAATATTTTTTTATTCTTTTTTAAGGAAAAAACCATACCCCCCCCCCCCCCCCCTCCCCGCACAAATTATTGTACATTATTTTGAGGTTCATTGTATTATACAGTATTCTGTTCAGAGTACGCGACTTAGGTTCAGATATACGATACAAACTGATTAGAGAAATGTTTAAATTTTGTTATTTTCTTGAATAGTATATAAATAACACATACCTGAGAGGATGATAGAGCAGATTATTATCCCGAGAAAAGATTGTCAACCAATCCAAATCTGGCATTTTAACGTGAAGTATAATAATAATCAAATATTTACCACTGGATTTAAGCAATCAGCAATCAATTATTTTACTAGCAGGAAAGTAGTGACAAAATGCCGGTTCTGCTGCACTTTCAATTTTACAATAGAAAGTGAAATTGAAAGTAGGAAAGTGAAAGTAAAAAATTTAAATCGAACCCGACAGTAAAAAATGAAGAGACTCTAAAATGTAAAGACCTCCCCACCGGAGTAAGTAACCAAATTTTAGAGGTGATCGAAGTAGATGGCAAGTTTGGGAAGAGAGAGTAGTATACTCACCTTGAAAAGTAGGGAATGGGAGATGTTTAGGGTGTGGGCCTGCAGGGGGTTAAACAGAGAGAAGGGACCCTTTGCAGGAACCTTCGTGTGAGAAGTACAGGTTTTAAAATAAGTTAAAAGACTAAACAAGTGTATTTCTCATACGATATTGTGAGAAAGTAAATCTCTTACTCCTAGTCAAAAGAACAATCAATTTCCTACTTTTACTTTAACACCTCTTTACTCCTAGTCAAAACCCTAGCTAAAACTAGATTAAAAAATAAGTTGATCATGGTGTGTAATGGGTGATTATGGAACATTTTCCCTTCCGGCGCATGCGTTGTAAGGTCTTTCTTATGTTGTCGTTATGTTCGTTGTTCATCGTAGTAAGAGTCTAAGCATGTAAAAAATTAGAAAATTGAAAAACGTCCTTAAGGACGTTCGCTACTCTGTTTCAAAATAACAAGCTTTTAAAAAGACTGTTATAAATTGATAGTATATAAATAAAGGAACTATAAAAGCAGAAACAAATGAAGGTTCCGTAAGCTTGTTTTCGAGATACCGGTATAAGCCATTGGAAATTTGGCGGGAAATGATTCTCTCTAGATTTTGCATACATTTAACATTGGCACCTTTTTTTCTGTCAAAAAGTATGAAAAAAATAACAAGGATTTAATAAGATTTTTAAAGATGACATTTTAAACTATATGTAATCGAATTGTGAAAAGTGAAAAGTAAAGTAGGGGTTAGTGGGCAAAAATGTTTAATGGGACTACATGGATAAAACCAGAGGATTTCAAATATCTGGCAAAAAATCAAAAAACAAGAGGAGCGAACATCCTTAAAGAGAGATGTTAATATAAGTAACAACATTTGTTCAACATAAGAAGACATGCTTGGTCCATCTGGACTGTCATCGTCTTAATTTATACCAAGTGAAAGCGGCGGTGCTAAATTTGTTAAAAATTGTAGCGCAAAACTGAAGAGGAATAAGGGGTCTTGTAAGAATTAACCTGGAACAGACGGACAGTGTGGGAAACATAGAAAACAACTGCGTCGGCAGAACGATGACGAACCCATTTCAATCGAAGGCAAAATCCTTGTGAAAGAGACCATGAAGGAGCTCCGTAAGATAGCTAAGGATGAGGATTTGAGGGGGTACAGCAGGAAATCAAAGGAGACGTTATCCAAGCTCACTGAGGAAAAAACCAACAGCAAATTTACTCATGAAGAGGATTTTACCCAAAAATAGAGCTTACAACACTCGCAAAGAGACGAGGTATAACCAAGTACTCTCGATTAAGGCAGACGATCTACTCCAATTTGTAAGAAATGCACCTGTTGAAGACAAAAAAAAGTCACTGATAGAATAGAAGCGCTCAATGGTGTATTTGATACGGTGACTATTGAGCCTTTGAAGCAAAGTAATTTAGATACGTTTTTAAGGTAAGTAAACGCACTATTTCCAGTAAAATTTCAGATGCACTTTCCAAAAAGAAGAATTTGAAGGTGCAAATAGTAGTTCAAATGGGGTTTGTGAAAAAAAAACCGCAACTGGAGAGAGTACCTACGTTACTCTTGTCTTTAGATCATCCGTTGTTACTTTCACTGAATCAACGGCCCTCGAATTGGAATTGCACTCATGACGAAGCAGGTGAACGAAAATATGACAAAGTACATGCGTGAATGATGTGGATGGACATTTGGTAACATTGGACAATTAAAATAAAATTGAGAATGGAAATGGGGAATGTATCGAAGAGACAACAACCCGACAAAAGCAGAAAACAGCAGAAGGCCACCAATGGGTCTTCAACACAGCGAAAACATCCCGCACCCAGAGGCGGGCTAAAGCTTGCCCCTAAACAAAACTGTGTACTAGTTCAGTGAAAATGGACGTCACACTAAACTCCAAAACATATAAATGAACAAAAATTAAAAAAACATACAAGATTAACAAAGGCCAGAGTCTTCTGACTTAGGACAGGCGCAAAAATGCGGCG